TTGTTTGCTAACTACCTCATCTCTGTAATTTCTGGGTTTGTTTCTGTGGATCGGTATTTTCCCTGGTTATTAGTAACATTTTCCTCCCTTTTCAAATATCAAGTAATTTTTGACTGGATGCTGGATTTCATGAATATTACATTATTAAATGCCTGGATTTTGTTGTCTTCCATTACAGTGTGTTGAGGTTTGTTTTGTCAGTGAAGTTACTTGTGGATCAGCTTGACCTTTTCAAGGCTTCTTCTTAAGCTTTATTAGGATGAGATTAGAGTAGCCTTTTCTCTAATGTCAGTTTAGCCCTATTACTAAGTTGTGACTCTCCTAGTATCTCTATTGATTGCTCCAAATGTTCACTGAATTTCCTCTACTCTGGCTGGTTGAAACTTGAATATCTTCCAGCCCTGTATGAGCTCTATGAATTGTATAGCTTACAGAATTCACACAGTTTTTCTCTATCCAGCCTCATGGAGTTTTAGCTTACATGTGCTTTGCTTAGTATAAAGCTGAAGACCCAAAAGGACTCCTACTTGGATTTCTGGGGCTCTTTCTTTGCATAGCCTCTTCCTCAGTACTGTATTCAGCAAATTCCAATGACTATGCCTCTGCAAACTCCAGTTTATGTCTCCTTAACCCAACAAAACCACCCTACTCTGCTTATATTTCCCCTTGTATGGCCAAGGTCTGGAAATTGCTTCCAGGAAGAAAGCCAGGGTGATTGTGGGACTCAGTGCATTATTTCTCCTCTCTCACAGATCAATGTCCTGTACTACCTGTAGTCCAATTTCTGAAAATAGTGTTTCATATATATTTTTCAGTTTTCTAGCTGTTTGTGATGGGAGGGCAAGTCTAATACCAATTATTCCATCATAGTTGAAAGGATAATTCTTATCTGCTGTGTTTTATGCTATGTTTTAAAAATTATTTTTAAATGGTGATATATTATATTTGCCACAAGATAAGGTATGTTGATTGTCCTTATATCAAAATCAATTGTAGTACTTTTCCCAATTACAAGTACCTGGTTCTACCCTCAGACATTTTGATTCAGAAGATCTAACATAACGTTCCAGGCATCACATTTTAAAAACTTTGACAGGTGGTTTTTGATATACAGCAAAAGCTAAGAATCACTATTCTAGTAAGCTTAAATCCAGTGTGGCTTTGATGAACTTAAATGGATTATCCTACAACTTGTCCTTAATTCAGTGACATTCAGTAAAAATGGAATGAAAAATGAAGACCTCTTGGATATCTCCACTAGCCACATGAAAAACAATTTCTGGCAGAGCAGGTGTCTTTAGAGCTCTGATCAAGTACCATGGCTTGTGTGCATTCTGATTTGTTTTGCCTGTGCCATAGCAGGTGTTGTGTATTTTGAATATTACTTCTGCCCGTGTCAAGAACTTCTTAATACTTATAAAGCAATCTGCAAACATTCTTATAATACATTGATTCACAGATGGTTAGCAGATTTCATCTTCTGTGTCAGTTCTGTTTTGTTTAATGGTGACTGCTTGGAGCACAGTAGTAAGAAGGATTCCAAGGCCAATTCTAGACTCAGCAGGAAGGAATGCTGTGATGGATTAGTGATGTCTGTCATGAGTTTGGGATTAGGAGAATGGGGAAGATGTCCCATGCATTTGCAATTCATGTACTGGTTAAAGGGAGTCTTTTTCTCTAAGTGTCTCTAATTGCACAAGAAAACTTGTTGACATTCTTTATATTCATCTTGACTTTACCACGTATAGGAAACAGATCTAATA